TGCAGGAAAGAGACAAGTTCTTCTCTCGCTGCCCATCGTGCGGGACGTCGCTGAGACCTCCTCTTCCTTCCTACCGGGAGGGGGTGCAGAACCCCCGAACCACCCAGTCTTACACAATGTCAGACCCTGTCAGTTTCTAGTACAGGAAGCCCCGGCCTCTGCCCAGCTGCAAGCCCTTCCGTGGAGGGGAACGGTGCTAGGAGGCGGGTGCTGTTTGTTGAGGTTTGCTGGAGAAATCTCAAATCGGCTCTGGCCCTGTGCCGTGCACGTCTGGCGCCCGCTGCAGGAGCCAGTGGCAATGGCTAACAGGTGGGAAGTTGTCGAGGTCACACGCTTGGAATTTGCAGGGCAAAGAAGGCCTGGAGGAAGCGGTGGGAAGGAGAGGGCGTTGTACGTGTGGGTCTGAGCGGGCAGATACGCTAATGCCAAAAGCCGAGGGACGCGCTGTGCTTTTGTACTAGACGCTAAATCCGGTTTGATCCTGCGATGTTTCCATCTAAGCTGCATGCGCTGGGCAGCTTGTGTCTATCAGCTAAAGAGGGTTCTCCTGGCAGGAGCTTCCGGAGGCAAACACGTCAGATAACTATACCCAGGTGCGTTTCCATCTTCCGTGTCAGCCCCTGAGCCTTGTGCGGTCTTTTGCCCTGGGCCATGGTGAGCACAGAGCTCTGCCAAGTACATCTGGGCGCAGTGTTTTCAGCTGACAGGACATTTGCTGAAAAATGTGTTTTCCAGGGCACTGAAACTATTTGTGACTTCAGGGCAAATTCAAGCGGTCGTTTCGGCTGAAAACACCATGCAAGGCCCCTTTGAAACTGCCGGTCGGGCTCCCTTTGCCTGGCTGGAGAGTTTGCTGTGCGTCATCATTCTCCAACCAGCTCGTTTCACCCAAGCACCATTTGGGGGGGTTTGTTTGTGAGGAAAACACAAGAAAAAGAAATCTGGTTCCATTCAAATGAAGCAGGCGTTTCAGTCTGGCTCCCGGACCAAACAGCGCAGTGATTCACCCAGCTCCTCCACTCCCGCGCCGTTAGCCGGCCAGGCCTTCTGGAGGCGGCCCAGCACCCCGGGAGAACTCGCTCGGGCCTTTGCCGGGCTGCCCTGGGAGAGCCTCCCGCAGCTCGCTGCCTCTGTTCCCTCCTGTGCGGGGTCACGGGGCCTTTCCTCGCAGGCTGGGACAAGGTCACGCCATTCCGACTGTCGGTGAGCGGTCACATGGTCACTCAGGCAGATCAGTAGAGGCGCTGGCTTACAGCCAGGTTACACTTCCCTGCAAGCTCCATCGCCGCTGTGTGCTTAGGGTGGCCGATGGGGTGGGCAGGGAGCGAGCCAGCCAGGGACCGGGACGCTCCAGGCCAGAGTCCAGCGGTTCCTAAATAATGTACAAAGCAGTGAACTGGATTCTGAGCAGCAAGTTCCGCTGTGGATCCCAGCGAGGAATCCCTGGGCACAGCGGAGGGCCCCGTGGACTCAGGAACGTCTCCTCGTAGTGGGGTCACAGAGCCGGGGAGGTAGCGGTCAGGCTTGGGGTTTCTTACAACGCTCGCGCCATGCCTTGGACAGGCTTTGGACTTGAGCTGACTGCCCTGGGCGTTGGAGCCAGCCCCTAGCCAGCTCCAGATGGGTGGCTGCACCCTGCTTTGGACGCGTTCCCCAGAAGCTGCAGATTTCTGGGCTGGCTCAGAGCACTTCAGCGGGTAACGAGATCCCGCTTCCTGCCGTGGGTGTGTCAGAGGTTCGGGTGGCTAGCCCTGGCAATTACCTTTCCAGCCAAAGTTTCATTCTAGCTACTGAAACCACTTGCAGAAGTTCCCCGATCTCTTGGCTTCCCCATGTCCCTGGCATGAGAACTCACCAGACCTGGTCGTAGAAGGACTGTATCAAATCAATCTAAGCCATGGGCTGGGAACACATTGAGGGTTTTGTCTTTCTGCGGCTTATATTTCGCCTTCTATTTGCTTATAGGGTGTGTCCTGCTTTTCTGTCTCCTGTGCCAGGAAAAAATAATCAGGGAACGGCTCAGAACCCAAGAATTCCAGAGTTCGTACGTCCCAGCTCTCTGTGATGGAGACTTAACTGTTTCTCTGGTTCCCCCTCCATTCGCGTTTGCCCGTCATGCCAGAAATTCCCTACCAATTCCTGACGCGGTGCTAGTGCTGGCTGGAGGCCTGCTCGAGATGAGGTGCCCATGACAAGCCACCAGTTCAGTTCCTGATGTCCAGTAGACTCAACCAAAAGGGGATGAAATCCGTTCTGGGTGCCAGAGCCTTGTCTAGCCTGCTGGTGCCAACGCCCACTCCAGTCCAGTGGGAATTTTGTGGAAGTTTCCCCAGTGTAGATAAGGCTCTGCTTGGCACATGACTACCCTGGCACTGGGCAGCGTCACGTCCGTGGCATCTCCCTCCTGCCAAGGGAACGTTTGCTACGCTGACTGGTACAAAAGGCTTTAGTAGAACTGTCAGCACCTGGAGGCAGGCTGGCTTGGTTCTGGATTGCACCTCCCCGGGCGTAAACACGGGGCTTTGTCTGGTCCTGTGAGCGCGGGAGGGGAGCCAGCTGTCACTCACAGCTGGCCGAGCCCGGCCGGGTGGAACAGGACTAAGCCGATGGGGCTCTGTGCGCGTTCTGCTGGGCAAGGAAGGGCTGGTTTCAGGAAGTTGCTGGTGTGATCTCAGCTGCACGAGCCAGAGCGCGGGGTTTGCCTTAGCAGCCTTGCAATAAGAGTTCAGCCTCTCGGTCGGGGGGCGTGTACGGCTGGCAACGGGTCCTTTGCTCCAGGTTAGCTGCCGCTGCCCTGCCTTTCACTTACACTGCCAGGTCCTCCCGTCCGAGCTGGGGGCCTGGCTGGGAGCCAAACGTGCTGCTTCGTGTAGGCTGCTCCTTGGGGGGATGCCACGCGCCTCGTGGGGCATTGGCCTTTTGCAGAGCCCCAGTGGCGGGAGGCTCCTGAGGAAGGACAGCTCAGTGGCCCTCTGACTGGAGAGAGCAGCGTTCGAGTCCCTGCTCTGCCACAGGTGTCCTGCGTGACCTTGGGAAAGTCACCGGACCGCTCTGTGCCTCAGTTCCCCTTTGCAAGGGGGCGATAGCGCGGCTCGGCCCGCCGGGGGTTTGCAGGGAAAGGTGAGACGCGCCGAGGGTCTGGCCGTGGGGCCGCGTTGCTCTCTGAGATCCGGGGGGCGCTGCAAGGAGCTGTCTTGACATTTGCCGGGTTCTGAAGCCTTTCAGAACAGCTGCCAAGGCGCCGGTTTAATTTCCTTGCGGCCCTGGCAGCTGCATCCCCGCTGAGTTGCGAGGCGTTTTCACACGGGGAAGGATCAGGCTCATGCCCCGTCCCCGGCTCGTCTCCAGCCTGCTTGCCGGACGACGCACGAGGGAGCTGTTCACGCCAGGAGCCTGGCGCCTGCCCGCGAGGTGCCGTCCGAGACCCCCGTGTCTCCTGGAGTTAGTGGTCACCCCCGGGACAGGCGGCGTAATGCCAGGGCCCCGGCAGAGCCGCATGCCGCTGCAGCGCAGAGCGTAGTGTGCAGAGGTCTCCGTGACTGTCCCCGCACTCGGACCCGGCTGGAAAGCCCACGTGCAGGGCCTGGTACCGAAGGGGTCTCGTGCGAAGCTCGGCTGCGTTGCGGTGCACACAGCCACGGGGGCATGGCTGGCAGAACACCCGCCCCACTAGGAAAGTGCATCCCACCCCGGGCTCCTCTCTCCCGCCTCGCGGAAACGTGTTCCGGAGCAGGGCCTGGCTCCGGCGCCCGTCTCCAAGCACGCTGCCTGCTGGGCCTTTCAGCAAGAAACGGGGCCTCCAGGCCCTGGCGAGAGGAGGCCCCCTGGGCCTGTGGCTGGAAAGGGCTGGCTGGCCCGTGCTTGGCTTCCCAGTGTCCGGCCAGGCCTCTCCCGTGACAGTCAGACCGAAGGGGCCGTGATCTCGGGCTGTCGGGCTATTGTGAGCCGCGTAAGCTGAGGCCACTGATGGGTTTGGCGCTCAGATGCCCACTTGTGCAGAAGAATTTGTGCCTGCGTAGAGGAGCCGTCCTGGCTGGGCGAGGGCTGGCCGCGTACTGCTGCTCTCGAATTCGGCCCCGGCCCCACTTTCCCCGTGACAGTCAGACCGAAGGGGCCGTGATCTCGGGCTGTCGGGCTATTGTGAGCCGCGTAAGCTGAGGCCACTGATGGGTTTGGCGCTCAGATGCCCACTTGTGCAGAAGAATTTGTGCCTGCGTAGAGGAGCCGTCCTGGCTGGGCGAGGGCTGGCCGCGTACTGCTGCTCTCGAATTCGGCCCCGGCCCCACTTTCCTGCTGCAAGTCCCTCCCCTCGGAGCCAGGTCTAGCGTGTGAGACGCAGGCGCGTCGGCCCTTCCAGAAAGCAAGGGGAGGTGACGACGCAGCAGGCGTTTCAGAACCCAGCCCTTCCTACTGGCAGCAGTGTGCCTGGATATTGGGTGGAAAATGCTTGTGTGAGCCGCACTTTGGTGTGTGCGGAGCAAGTACTGCGCATGCTAGTGCCTGTTTTTCTGCACACACATTCTCTCACGTGCACACTCTCTCTCACACACGTGTACACATGCTCTCACATGCACACACTTGTGCAAGGGCCGCATGGGTTTGGAATTATTTTGCAAGTGCTCTGCGGGCGTCTGAAGTTGAAAACGGGGCGTCTGCCTCCAGGCCTCGGCGCCACTGACCGCGGCAGTGAGAGACCCTGCCGCAGCCTTTGGATCGAGCTGCGCGCCGAGCGAGAGCTCTGGCAGTGACCAAATGCCAGGGCAGGCGCGAGGAGGGTTCAAAAGTCCAGAGTTCAGCGAGCCAGCGCCCCGCCCCGCCCCGGTCTGGCCCCCTCTGACAGACGCACTGACCCGCCCCTGTT